AGCAGCAGCTGAAGCAGCAGCAGCAGCAGCAGCAGCAGCAGCAGCAGCAGCTGGACAGCACATGCATCATCCGTCTCCTCAGCAGCATGAAGATCGGGGTATGACTGCTGCTGGTGTAGCTTCTTGCGAAGCAGCAGCAGCAGCAGCAGCAGCAGCAGCAGCTGCAGCAACAGCAGCAACAACAACAGTACCCGGCCCATCATCACCAGCAGCAACAGCAGCAACCGGTGTACCCCCATCAGCAGCAGCAGCAGCAGCAGCAGCAGCAGCAGCAGCAGCAGGAGTACCCCCACAATCATCCCCTCCTCCTCCTCCTCCTCCCCCTCCCCCCGCAGCAGCAGCACCAACAGCAGCAACAGCAGCAGCAACAGCAGCAGCAGCAGGAACCCCTACAACTGGTTCCGTGGTATCATGTAGCAGCAGCCAGATAAGCCGTTTGCTGCTGCTATCTGAGCATCTGCTGCAGCAGCTGCTGCAGCAGGTGACCCCATCAGCAGCATCAAGAGAAGAAAAGAAGATGCTATATAATACACTCGCACACTTTGTCGACCATGTGCTGGGGCGGGGGGCCTCGCTGCACCTTGCTGGCAGCACAGCATACGACGTTGATGCTGCTGGGAGTGACCTCGACGTTGTGCTGCTCACCAGAGGCTTTGCTGCTGATGCTGTTGCTGTGCTGCAGCACCTCAGAGCTACTATAGAAGATGTACAGAAACAGCTACTTGCTGCTGCTGCTGCAGCAGCAAATACCACGAATCCTGCTGCTGCTGCTGCTGCTGGTGCTGCTGCTGCTGCTGCTGCTAGCAGTGCAGCAACTGCAGCAGATCAGCAGCAGCAACAACTAGCAACACACCCACAGCAGCAGCACGCAGCAGCACCCCACCCCCACCCCCACCACCACCACCCGCAGCAGCAGCAGCAGCAGCAGCAGCAGCGTAGCGAGTGGCCATTGCTGCTGGCTCGTGTGCAGCTGGTGGAGAGTGCTCGCGTGCCTATATTAACTCTGCGTACACCCGGTGGCTCTGTTGTGTGTGATGTGTCTGTAAACACCAGCAACAGCGTGTGGCACAGCGAGTTCTTTGGTTTGCTGCTGCAGCAGCAGCCGCATCTCCGCCCCCTTATGCGGCTGCTGAAGGTATGGGTAAGAAACAGGAGGCTGCCGACGATGAAGGAAGGGGGATTGCCCTCTATTGTATGGATGATACTTGCTGCCTTTCTTTGTGCTGCTGCTGCTGCTGCTGCACATACACATACTGCTGCTGTTGCGCCAGCAGCAGCAGCAGCAGTTGCGGGGACAGCAGCAGCAGCAGCAGCAGGAAGTGGAACGGGAAATTCAGCTGCTGTTAATGGGCATGCAACA